CACCTCCTCCTGCTCCCTCGGAGGCCATTAACCTCCGACTGACGCAAACTCATGTGTAGTCACAATTCCCCAGCTCGGGCTCAGAAACGCAGACATTACCATAATCGGCTAAAACAAGTATTTATAAACATTTCAACAGGCAAGATATCATCAGCAGGGGCCTTGGATATTTGTCTTAAAATTTATTAACCAACCCAAGAAAAAGTGACATAAATAAAGCAAGGTTTGTTGTTGCTGTTTTTTAAGAATAACCTGATGATATGAAATAATCTAGCAGACAATGTCATGAATTATATGACCTAATGTTTTACAAACTGGACTCCTTCAATGCTATTATCGTAAAAACAACTGACTTTATGGCTATAACTCATGGGAAAAAACTGTTCGTATGTTTGTTTTCTATTTTTACTAGTGTTATTTAGAGGAGTCTCAAAAACCCAACTACTAAAGTTCAGGATTTCTTCCTCCCCAATTCAAGTTAAAATGCTTCCTCTAAAAATTACGACTTGCGAATTTGTCATGTTTTAACTCTGTGCATCTGAACATCTAACCATGGAACTTGGCTGAGCTTTACTCCTGCCTGAAGGACCTGCCACATGGGGCTGAGCTTTATGAAACGGTAGTGAGAAACTCAAGCTGACCTCTCGTGTAGATCCAGAACAACTCTGTTCCTATTAAATGGTAGCTTAATTAATGGTGGGGATTTAAGCTGATCTGACAGAGGAATGGTGGGAATCGTGCCTTAAAATAAGTAAAATAAATATTTCGCTAATGTTTGCTTTGTTAACACACTCACTAAATTTGTTTTCATTCATTTCTAAAATTATTTTAATTATTTATAATGAGTCTTCATAAAGTTGTTGCAAAAGAAGTCTGCATCTAATTCCAGAACCTCTTTACAGTAGCTTTCTTTTGATGGCACCAGAAGGGGATGATAGAGTGGGCAGACTAAATAAATCGCGATCCATTCAAGAGAGGGTGGTTCTCATTGATTTGAGCTATGCAGTTGCTGCCAAAGAATGAAAAACAATCTGAAATAATCTTGAAATCGATGGCACACTTAACTGTGAATTGAGATGGAAAGGCTCGTGTGACATATTCAAATCTTTCAAGATGAAGATTCATCCAGGAAGCAGCCTCTTCCTCTAGACCATTTATGCTTTAAACACTTATTTTCACTTATAGCTGCTCAAGCACTAGCATGGCCAGGAGACGTATACACAGACAAGAGCAAAAAAAAAAAAAAAAAAGGGCAGGAAGATGGAAACTTGAGGACCAAGCCAATATCATTGCAAGCACACAGAAGAAACAGGCTGCCCTGCGTTTTGCAACTTCCCAATCATCCCCAAACAGAGCCACTTTTCTGAAAGGGAAGCGGATCCAGGGCACGCAGGCCAAATCCCAAAGCCTTCCACGGCTCCTGGATAGTGCTGTGTTGAACACACTACACTGCAAAGAAAATGCTCGGGAACCACTCATGAGCTCTCCAAGTTGGACATTTGCTCCTAGTTCCTCTCTGTTTATTGCCCAAGGAGGCTTGCTCAGACTGAAGGGGGATGGAGAGCTGCCAACTTTTCCTTTGTTTTTTGGTTTCTTGGTGCCATTTGCCCCATGAGAGGGGACAGGGTCCCCACTCATGCTGCTGGGTGCCTGACCTGCATCCCGGGAATGGATTCTGCACGTGGCAAACCCCAGCCCTATAGAGCCAGACGTTCTCCCCAGTGCAAGGATGCCCTGACACCTCAGATCATCTCCCGTTCGGAAATTCTGCCCTCGTGTTGTGAAATCTGTCCGTGTCTCGCTGCGAGTGACGGAGCAAGCGTGAGTCAGGACTCGGGAGGCAGCAGCCTGGCTCCAGCTTCTCCCCGAAGCTGTGAGAGTTGGGAAAAATCTGGGACAAGTATTTATGGGCTCAGCACAGCAGCTGAAGAGCCAGGAGAGTACGAGCAAAACACAGTGTTACTTGAGTTGCATCTGCAAAAGCAGTTGCTGAGGCTCATGTTTTTATGAACAATTTAGGCATATTAAAAATAACGTTTTATAAAAATAGAAGAGTAGGCTCAAATTTATCCCATGGATGCTAAAAGCACAATTTCTGTTCACAGGAGGAGAGGCTATGTAAGTATACACACAGGACAAATTTGACCCAAACACTGCAAATAAATGGATGTTTTATTTGTGCTTTAAGTACAGCAGCGAGCAATTAAGCTCAAAACTTCAAAGCTATTAAAGTGAGCAACTCCCACTGAAGTCAATATGAGATAGAAACATGAAGTCCACTGAGTCTCTGTATTTTAATGTCTACAATGCAGATTAAATATTTATAACTATTGCAATCTAATAGGATTTCAGTCTGAAAATTTTCTCTCCAACCTCTGAAGCAAACAGCTTGGAACAGTTTCAGTTAAACATAAACAAAAATTGTATTTTTAAAACCTTTACTGAGGTAAAGCTCCCATTGCCTTCGACAATTAAAACCTGCAGGGTTAGGTAGGTAAAACTGAAGCCAATTGGACATAACAGAATATTATCCACTACAGCTGCAACATTCTGTAGGAAAGTGTGGCATGCTCCCTAACTGCGTGGGGAGTTACCTTTCATTTCATATTTTCCTTATGCAATTTATTTCACAATGATCAAATCAAAAATATAAGCAATGAACTTACCCAAATTCTTTGATCAGGCAATTGGAACTGGGAGCAAAATTGAAACAAAAACAACACATTATTCCCGCATTGGAACCCTCATTGCAATCAATCTACTAAATACGTTTTTTTTTTTTTTTTTTTTTTAATAATTCAAGGTTTTATTCTGAATACTTTGCTGTGCTGGGGCATTCCCTCCTTAAGAATTAAGTCCTTGTAATGGTAAATTATTGCAAAATATAGCTAGCTAGCTGCCCTAATCTTTCACAGCTGCTGGGCCACGGGCACTGAAAAGGCTTTTGCCCAAGCAGGCATGGAGTAAGGACCACAGGCTTTATGTCTTTAATAGCTAGTCCAAAAAGCTATTTTAAAGATCTGTTAACAATCATATCATTCAGTTAATTTTTTTCAGTTAAATTCCTGCTTAATCAAATTATAAGTTTCACAAACGCACCTATAGAAGTATAAATTTGTAGGAGACAAACATCAGAAATATTTTATGTTTTACATAGATAAATCCTGCCAGTAGAAAATGGAAACTTATGGTGTAATCCACACCTGCGCTTTTACAGGGGCGAACAGTGCTGTAAACCAAAAGCAGCTTCCCTGCAAGCCGTTCCCCGCTCCTCCATAAACACGGAGCCAGACCCGGCCCTGCAAACAGCAGAGCCCTTCCTAGGAAAGCCGGCAAGCGAGCAGGCCCACTTGGACATGGACTTTTTTGCAGGATGTGCGATCGTGGTTTAGTTTCCTTTCACGACGTGTTAAGAGCGTGTGCTGCACTCGCCACTTTCCTACCAGCCCATCCCAGCGCAAGTTAAATCCACGGGCCCTAGCAGCATGACCGGGGGGTAAAATGAAAGCCAGTCCTGACCACGGGCCTTTTTTTTTGTCTATTGTGCAATGAAAAACGTGAATAAACGGGCGCAACGCGCACGCTCGCTCCCTGGGCATGACAGGGAACTGCCGCGAGGCCGTCCCGCACAACCAGGCCCCGCGAGGCCGGTGCGTTACGGGAGGCCGGTTCACATGGCAGCGCGGCACGGGCGGCCCGTCCCGGCGAGCTGCGAGGCCTTGGCTCCGCTGGCTCCGCGTTACGGACTTGCTACCTATCCTCCATGACACGGGCCTTTGTAAGCGGCCTGCTGAGACGCACTCTAGTAATTCAAGGTGATTTCCATGTTTCGTTCACTCTTCACTTCCTACAGACATCGGACCTGGAAAGGGATGTTTCTCTCTGCGTTCTCCACCCATGTGAGGACATCGCAGCTGAGTCTGCAACTGCGTGGGCCGGTACTGGTCCTTCCCGGCTCTTCTCCCAAACCTGCCCTCCGCCGTATTTCAGAGTATACTCCATGCAACGCAGGGAATAGCCATGGATCCCTGCACTGACAAAGAGCACCCCATGACAGCGTGGGCCCACAAATTCAGAGGAAGCTGAACCAGAGGCTGTTTCTGCACTTAAAACACAGGACCCATACGGGGTATTTCTATCAGGACGAAACCACAGTCAGCACCACAGAGGATTTTAGATTAAGCACAAGATTTAATCCACACAGATACTAACATAAAGACTCCTTGAGCAAGGACAAGGAGGACAAAAGGCGTACCCCTTGGGTAGGGTGCTGCCCAAGAAGAGCAATGTGGAATCTTCCTGCCCATACTGTTTCTGCGACTGATGCTTCAAGGACACCTCTGAAATTGCTGTTATACAGCAAGCAAGAGGCAGGACAGCAAGCGCTAGGCCTATACACTGGACAGTAGCCCTCTTCTATAGCAAAAACTGATGCTTTTTAGGCATGTAGAAGGGATTCTACAAAGCCCTTGGACACACTCTAGCCCCATGACCCTTACCTAAGGAGGCAGAGGGTGTTACATGAGCTGAGAAGCTCACCTATGTAGAGGGTTTTCCTACTTCTCTGGAGTTCCTAAATACCGATGAAAGGGACTGATCATATAAAGCAGGCAAACAGATGACAGGGATGCTCAGTTTTGCAGGATCTACATCACTCTCTTTTAATTAGCATTGACTCCACTGCAACTGCCCATGGGCTGGGAGCCTGCCAAACAACGGGGCAGCTCCCAAAGTTGGTAGTTATGATAGTTTTGTAGGAATATGGCTCTAAAACATGCATGTAGCTTGAACCTGGCTTCCTCTGTAATCAAAACATGTTGTTTCATCTGCAAAACATCAAGAAGCTCAGAACAATGCTGATGTTTTTCCACCACAATGATGAAGTCAAAATTGTGTGTCTTAGGAAATCCAAAAATGACTAAGACTGCATTCATTTCTCTGCACCTGCTTTGAAGCATCAATAGGCTTGTTTACAACATCAAAATGCCCAAAATACTTACTTGTGGATGAAACAAGAATCCTGGGGAAGGTCTCAAGTATTTTTCTTTTAAAGCTTCGAGCGGGTCAGTTAACTTTCTTTTCTCTACTCTGTAAATGTTAAAATTAGATTTGCTTGTGATGAATCAGTCTCAGATATTAATAATTATACAGCTATTCATGTTTAAAATAGTCAATTACACATCAAGCAATTTGTTTTTCAGAGATAATGGGAACGGTTAAGGAAGTACAGTCAACTCTCGATACTCCCGTACAACTCACTACTACTAGCGGGTGTTGTGAAATTCCATCAGAGGGAGATTTTACCATTTACATAGGAAATTATTCAATTTCAGAAAACCAGTAAAAATGACATTAGAAAACAGTGACTAACCACCAAGCACTTATATGAAGAAATCTGGTCTGGGTGCATTTGCCACTCACAGGACTGGAATTCAAGGCCTGAGGAGCTCTGAGCAATAGGTCTCTTCTCACTGGCCTGGGGAGAAATTGGAGCCCCGATCCTGGACCCTGTTCCTTGTGCACCCAAAGTCTGTGTGGCACAGAGCAGCAGGAGAAACACGGGCTCGAAGGAATGCAGCCAAGGAATGCTCCATCCGCAGTGAAGATTGCAATCACCCAACATGCGCATTCAGGTAGTGAAACACAGTGCTGGTGTCCAGAAGCAATAAGGAAATTTGAAGTCTTTTTGGTTTCTCTACTACTTATACACAGTTCAAGGGACAGATCCTGTCCTTATATATGCAACTCCTCACAAAGAAGGGCTCAGCAACAACTGGCCTCATACTAAACCGGCAGAATTTGCACCGATTTCATTAAGGCATGAGCATAAAACAGGAGTTGTTTCCACTGTTTCAGTCACTTAAAATAAATATGATGCAAAGAAATCCTATGGTCTAATACAGATACCAATCTGGTATGAATAAAATAATTGCAATAAGCAGCCTCATACCCTGTTTCTTTGCAGTATCTCTTGTCTTAGGTAAGAGAGCATTCTGCAAAAGTTTTGCCAAGAGCACTTCTTTTTTAGATAGAATAAGAAGTTAAGAACATTTACGTGTCAGTAACTTTTGTTTTTTTTCAAACAGTAGTCTGTAAAATGGGTCATTTAGATTACGGACAAGCATTTTATGGGGAGTATTTCTCTACTTCTCTGTTCCTGAGAACTAATTTAGATGCAGAGCTACTGCTGATTACAGATATGCAGCAGAATGGCAAAGGGCAAACAGTGGCTGACGTACACAGGACATAGGTGAAATCCCACTGAAACCAATGTCAGCCCTGCTGCAAGGCACCCACAGAGCAGGTTTTTGCAGCCGGTTTCTAAAACCCCAGCTCACGGAAAGGGCCTACTTGTGTGTCCATCAAAGTCAAAACCAAAGCTCCCACTTGTTTAATAAGATTGCTCAGATTAACTAACACCTTGGTTCGTTTTTGCACACCCAAGGACATTGTGCCCTTACTTGAATTAATGAAATGTCTAAAAAAATCAACACGTTGCTCAAATCAGTGCAAAAAAAGACAGAATTTACTCTGAACTCCCATACTCCTTACCAACCTTAGGATCAATCTGCCTCTTTGCCTTACCTATTATATACTCCCTTTCAACACAGGAGAAAACAGAAAGGTGGTGCACAACTGGCCCAGAAAACCTTTCGAAATGCACTCTGATTTTCAGGGAAGGGAAGGGGAAAGGGCAGGTAAAGCCAGTGAAACATTATGGAAGAAAAGCAATTTGTGGCAAACCAGTGCTTTCAGAGATACAATATACAAAATACATAAAGATACAACACTGACGCCAATTCATTTATGGTAAGAGAACATATTTGACTTCTGCACATTAAGCTGTGCACGTTGAACTAATGACTCCCTTCAAACAAGGCAGTAGCAAACACTTGCTAACTACAGAAATGGAAACCCTGGGGTTTGAGCTGAACAGTAGAGGTTTGAGGTGGGAGGTCCAGGTTAACACGGGGCCTGCATCATCACATGCCCAGGTGGCCAAGTCTCCCTGCACTGATGCCTACAGGGGGACAGGGTTGTCCTGCATCTGTGTGCAGGCAGCTTGGACAGGTCTAACTAGAGATACTAAAGGATGCTGAGACCCAGCATAACGTTTTACCTGTAAATGGGATCCATAAAGAACGGGGTTGGTCTGGCATGCTGCAAAGAAGACTCGGAAGCTTTCCTTTGTTCGGGGTCTCCTTTCTTGTCACCAAAGACGTGGTTTTTCCGAGGCTCGGCGAGTTTTGTGCCACTGGCTCGACTTCGGCTGCCCATGCTGAGATCTAGAGGCTGGTCCTGGCTTGTCACAGATGGAGCTGATGGCTTTGAGGGTATAGGAGTAACTGGCTTCTCCTCCTTACGCTTAGTGGTGAGGTCAAAGGGAGACTCAGAGCTTCCCTTTGGGATCTTCTTAATTTCACTGGGTGATTGGGGCTCCATTTTCAAGGGTAACGGTCTCAAGTCTCTATCAGGAAATGGATACATTGATTGAGAGAATGCTGGAAAAAATGGGAGGGGAAACATGGAAGGGTAAGGTAAGGCTCCGACTTTTTTGTCTTGCAGCCCCACAAGTCCTGTTGAACCAAAGTATTTTTCAGCAATAGAAGCAATAGCCTTTATAGAATCATTCACAGCTCCTGACACCGCAGTCTGCTCCTCTAAAGATGGTGAGAAAATGGAATGATTGCTGTGTTCTTTCTTATTATTTATTGAAGCCAAATTCTGCAGAGAGCTTACTTTGTCTTTGAACATTTTACCATTTTCTTTAAATTTCTCTTTCTCACTTTCAATGTCACTTTCCAGATCAGAGCCAGAGGTGGTTTCCAGGTCACTGCCACTGGGGGTACTGACATCGTCAAGGTCACTACTCTCTGACTGGTCACTGAGTTTTTCATGCGGCCTCTCTTCAGAGGACCTCTCTGGTTGAAGCTCCACTGGCTTATTTTCACCTACAGATGGTTGCTTATTTAGTGCCTTCAAAATATCCTGTGTAGCTGGCAGTATCTGAGGATTGGTCATGAGGGGACTTTGACTTTTGTTTGTCTGATCTGCGCTTGGTAGTCCTTTAACAGGAGAACTAGCAGGTATCAAAGGTGGCCTGTGGTACAAGCCTGAAGGAAACAGACCAGGGAAGCTAAAAGAAAATCCAGGAGCTGTTGGAAAGGTAAGACCAGCAGGATGCCTATTGGCTCCAAAATAGTCAGCAAGGCCCGGATTTGCATGATTCATATTAACCATGGACGTTTTATCCATAGCTGGGGTTCCAGGAAGTGAAATGCCTTGGCCAAAAAATCCTCCTGCTGCAAAATGGTTCTTGCCCTCACAAAATCTCCTGTGTTTATTTAAGGAAGACGTAGTGCTGAACATTTGTCCACAGTCTTTGCACTTGATTTGGGTTCTGCAATCAGCATGCATGCGCTTATGACGACAAAGGTTTGAAAACTGAGTATAGGATTTATGGCAGACCTCACCTGTATGTAAACAACAACAACAACAAATCTCAGGCTTTGTGGTAATTTCCCCCACCCTCAAAAATTTGCAAATAAAACAATTTTTTTTACCCTCCAAATGTCAATTCGGAAGTCATAAGGAGAAGTCTGGTTGCACAAATGTATGAAAGCTACAGTACTATTCCAAAGCAAGGCATCCAAGCAGACAAATGTCTAAAGACAGCACACACACAAAAAAATGCAGACCAAAACGCAAAGCAAAACAAAACAAACACATCTCCAACAAAACAGATAAGGTCTGAAATTGCTATAATGTAAAGTTTGTTTCCTTGCTTCCTCTTTTTATCGCACAGGCTTTCCCCCTTGGAAATGTTATTTCATATTGCATCAGCACCCAGAGCCCAGGGAGGACGTGTGGCCCCAGCGCTGCAACACCGTGTGAAGCATCTCTGCCTTCCAAGGGCTCTCTCGCTGGAGACGTTCATTTATACCACTATTCACATGTGTAAAGTTATTCAGAACAATTAATATTTGCAGACACAGACAGAGCAGCTGCCTCAGAGCCTTCAGACTAGAAGATGCCAAGGATAGAGAAGAGGTGAGGGAGGAAGCAACTGGATATTTACAAGCACATGCTATTATTAACAAACAACATTTTTTTTCCATTTACAATTAAGAAATTAATCTCATGGAAGTCTAAGCTATGTTTCTAAAATAACCTCAGTCAAATACTCTCACCTGTCCCAAGTATTTGTTAGTGTAATGCATATGGTCGCTGTGATATAGCAACAGGTGCCTTGGAAGCCATGGCTCTAAATTCCTCTTCTTAATAACATTATTAGTCTTAATATTGCTTATTTCTCTCTTGCATGTGAAATGTATATTTATGTATATAGTGAAAAATATACTATATTTCAACAGCAATTTCCTTGAAAAATGCAGTGCTATTTATTTGCATGCATGATGCTCAGCACATCTTAGTGGATTTCCTTTCCAATAACTTCAGTGTCACAAAAGCAGCAGCTGGAGAAAGCTTGAAGCCACAGAGGGCAGATCTACCTCAACCTGATGGGCCTGATTTAGACTGAAGCATTTAGCAGGATTCCTACAAAAAAACATTCATTAGCAGGAAGCTGAAAATTGTCCTGTAATCGGGACAGAGCGGGACACCCCACTGTGACGATGAACTGTGTGAAATGAATTTTTGCCCATTCCTGAAATACCCCATCCGTAGCTAGAGTCGCTACTCCCCACATTTTATTTCCTGCCTTGCCTTTGCTGCACGGTGAAGCATGGAGCCCTGTCCATGGGGTACACACCTTAGTGAGCAAGTTATTGGGGAGCACCCAGACTAGAGGTCTCCTCGTCCGACTGTGCTTTGGCACAGCCCCACCAAACACTGCAGCTTCCCATCCACCTTAGGTTACCTTTCGGGGAATTCTATATCCTTTGGGCTAGCAGGAAGCAGCAGACAAGCTCAAGGTTGTGCTCTTTCTTATTCTGAAATACGCCAGGACCTCTGGCCTACCTTGTTTCTGGTGGTACAGGCTCTAGCTTTGTTTAAAAACAAAATAACATCAGCAGCAAGTGGTGTTATCTCTCTGTAATAAATCCTCTCTTTTTTTTCCAGTCAGGAAAAAGCATGTGGCCGCTTTATTTTTATTTAATTTGCGTTATATCATAAGCTCTCATCTTTCACACATCAAAGCCACACAACAATGCGCATTGTGTATTCGGGGGCCTTTTTAACAATCATTTTCAAGATTTGAGACAGTCTGACATAATTTACAATGGCTCTATTTTAAGCCTGCAAAGGAAACTGAATTGAATGTATCCCATCCTGCACCGTTGGTTCCCATGAACCGTAATCACGTCCTCTCGCTTCCACTCGCGTCGGGGCCGCGCTAACCTTCCTGCTCCTCTGAATCTCTGCCCTTGAGAAACTCGGCTGCTTGTTGTCATGTCGGAGCTGTTTACCTCTCCAGCGGGCTCGGTGACAATGTGCCATTGTCTGCGGGCCTGATCCTGCCCCGCCGGCACCGCTCCGGGGGTAAAGAGCGCGGAGTCGGGCCCGCGCGCCGGAAAGGTGCAAGGCACTAATCCAGGAAGAACTCTTGTTGCTGGGTATCAGTTATTGTTCCTGTTGGAAACCTTCATTCACAAGGAAGGAGAGGGAAGAAATAGGGAAAGGACAGAAAAGTGAGGAGAAGAAGAGAAGAGAAACTGGAGAAAGAGAAAAAAAAAACAGCAACAAAAAAGGAAAGAACGAAGAATAGAAAAAAAAAAAGAAAAAAAAGAGAAAAGAGAAAAGAAAGAAGAAAAAGAAAAAAGAGGGAAAAGAGAATGAAGAAAAAAGAAGAAAAAGAAAAAGGAAAAAGAAAAAAAGAAAAATAAGAAAAATAAAAATAAAAAAAGAGAAAAGAAAAAGGAGAAAAGAGGAGATGTGTTTTTCCTAGTTGCCTCCTGTAATGTTTGCTTCTTCTTTTCCTAAGTGCTTTTGTTTACCTTTTGGGAAGATTTTATCCACCTATTTATCACAGAACTATTGGTTCTTTATTGCTGCAGTAACAAGCGCCAATCTTTTCTGCTACCTTTCTGCTATTTTTATCCTAATCGTAGGCAAAAAGGCCTTGCTCCCACAAAATAACATCACGGCTGTGTTTAACAATACAAATCCAAGCTCCAGGTCTGAGCACCCCTTATCCTCATTGCTGAGGTCCTGCACGTAAAGCTCCCATCACCTTGACCACATAAACCAAAACTAAACTGTCAGTAACGGCACAGCTTGCACAAGTGTAGCTTCCAAGGCTGAAAAGAAACTTCAGGCCCAGGTCTGAAGCTCCTCATCACCAGAACAGACTTACTGATGAGCAATGTCGAACTGAACCTCAGTGTAACATTGAGGTTTACACCAAATGCCCCACTGATTTGGGGGGGAATGCTGTATATAAATCATTTACCTGGGCCACTGTGAATATTTCCAGGAGGGAGGACTAGTCTAGTAAGTTTTTATTATAAAATCTACCTCTTTTTCACTGCTGCTTTGCCTAGAATTTAGTAGATGGGGGGTATGGTTATCAACTTTAATCGCTTCCACGTATCAAAGCAACAGAAGCTGGGTTTGATTTCTCCTGTTACACCTTATGACATCCTTTAAATTATAGTGCCATACTTTCAAGCAGCTAACTTGTAAGGGAAGCTTCTCTCCTTGCAGTTTTTATTGCTGTAGAGACCCCAGGTTTTATACAACTCCCGCTCTGTCTCCCAAGCTGCAAAAATTCATCTCATGTTTAAGTACATTCTGTATCATGGTTGTCTCAGAACCCCCAAAATAACTCGCAGTTAAGTTTGCAAATTTTCTGCTTATTAAAAAAATTACTGTAAGTACTATCTCGAATATGTTCAGTCTATTATGGCATGTGGTTTCTATTTGGAGAAGCTGGAGATTTCATGAAGGCAGTGAGTAATTACCTTAGTGTTGGTGAGTTTTCACTCAAGCTTGGGCGGTATACTGTAATAAGAGACAGTTGCCATAAACAGACTGGTAGAGTAAATCACGGTGTGTGGCCTCTTGGTGGAAAACAGATATCTACTTTAGGTGACCCTACCTCCCACCCCCGTCTTCGTCCAGCTCCCCGCATCGCTCAGAAAAGCCTACTGAACATGTGGTCTCCAAATTCTTTTCTTCTATAATTACACGGCTATTACTCATAGTCTGTTCAATGGTTTTTCATCTCTCATACTGTAAATTTCAAGAATATCAATGGCTGTGTTGATTTAATAGAATACGCACCAACGAAGAGCATTTCAGATATGATTTAATTTAAGAGAGGTGTCACTCCTGTATATAGTATTGACCACAACTCTATTACCTGAAAATTCCCAACCTGGCCAGAAGTTATGGTTTTCTAATAATTATATGTTTTAAATGTATCTGGTAATCCCAGGTTTATTCACTGTAGCTATAACTGGATTTAGTTATAATTTCCTCATACAGCCACGTACAAGTATTATCTAATCTAACGGCAGATATGCAGTCTTCACATGAATAAGTGTTTTATGGTATTAGAGCTTCCCTTAATGTATTATCCAGACCCAAAACACATGTCAAAGAAGGGTTTTACTGCTCCCTAGGAGACTAAGCTGGGTGTCCTGATACACTGCAAAGTTTAATACTGCAGCTGTGGGATTCACACCCCTAGAGAACAGGACCATATAGCATAGGGGAAGTGCAGCTTTCCTGTGCTCTGCTATGGGAGTAACCTGCTCAGCCTTAGCCTCCTTATCTGGATGCAGTGCTATCCACCAAACCTAGTATAAACTATCAGTACAGAATATATGGTCCAGCTGGGGGAGGAGGGGGAAGCACGAGAATATTTTGGTAAATTAGTGTTGAGAACTGCAGAAGATGAAAAAATCAGAAAAACAAGTAGGGGAGGTGGTCAAAGCAGGTGTTTTTCAAGCCATAACAAGTGCTTGAAAAGGCTGCTGGAGCTTAACGGCAACAAGAACCATATTCTTAAATATTTCCTGCCTCTGCTTCTCTGTTGAAAGGAAAACAGCTTGTAAGGTTATCGTGTGTCAAGGCTTCCCCATCTCATAGAAGGGTCTGGCTAGGTGGCACATGCAATCCTGGAGACTTTGAGGATCTGTCTTATATTTCACTACTGAGCCAGGCTCAGATATGAGGCAATTTTTATTGCTGGAGCAATTGTTTGTAAAAATCTAACAGCTAAACTCAGCACTTAAATTTAGGACATGCAAAGAAACCTCAAGGAGTGAGGCGGTCTCCTCCAATTGAAATGCACTGGCTGTGAGGCTTGTTTTTCCAATTCCAATGGAATTTCCAATGAATACCATGGCATCTAATCTGCTATAGATGCTATAGACTTGTGGCCCAAGATTAATTTCTAAAGCATTGCAGACTTTCACCTGCACTTGCTGGTTCTATGCAATTCCCAACCACTGCAGACTGCAATCCAGCATTCCCATCTCCTGCCCTAGGCCAGCACCGTTGCCACGTGGGCTTGGCAGGATGCAATTCAGCAACCAGCTGAGGTTGGTTTAAAACAACCCAAGACTGCAACCTCCAAGCCGGGTATCGCTGGCTCTTAGCTAAATCTTACTCCCAGCTTGCTCTTTGCCATCTGTGCATGGAAATATGTTGCGGGGACAACAGGTCCATTTATACAGTGGCTGCCTGAAAATGAAAATTATATTAAAAAAAAGCCTTGTGAATTACGCAAACTCATTTAATAAACCAAGGTGCAAGCCAGCCCCCACAAAACCAATGAGAAATTCATCAAAAGCACCATGCAACCTTCTGCTTCCACGTCATGCTGTTTTTTTTGACAAGAGAAATACACTTAACTGAAGATGTTTAGTTGAAGACTTACATATAAAAGGTTTGACACTGCTGTGGATGTGTTTATGCTGTTTGAGGCCCGAAGAAGTGGCAAAGGTTTTGCCACACTCTGGACAAGCGTGAGCACGAGCCCCAACATGCTGGGAACGAATATGCCTCTGAAGGTTGCTGGGGTCCGTGAAAACCTGCTAGGAAATGAGTACTCATTAACCAAGAAACTTGACTGCAAAAGAAGCCAGTTATTACAAGCATCTGTCAAAATTCAAACCTCAAGGTTATGGGGAGGTTTTTATTAAGATCTAAAAACTCTGTCTTTGGCTGCTCGTTGTATCTCAGTCTTGCTTAACGGAAGTCACTGGAAGCTTTGCCCAAAAAGACGGACCTCAGTTTCCGAGGTTTAGCCAAATACTTGGTGGTTCTGATAACCCTTCTGTCACCAGTACGCCAGATGTAAAAACCCCTGCATTCAGAAGTCCCAGGGAATGGGAGGTGCATCCATCCACTCTGCATTTCCAGCAGGGATTTGTGTCCCTCAGAGCCACAATATTTGTAGTAGGTACCAGTTATGTTGATAAGATGCACCGAGGCAATTCAAAACATATCTGTAGTGTTCTGTGATTGCAACCGAATTGAGGAAAGCAGGTCCCTACTCCCCTTTCAGAGGAGAGCTCAGGGCTTGCAGGTCAGGCAGTTCACAACCTTAACTGCTCAACTGCTCTCCTGAGCTCCAGACCCCACTCGCAAGGAGCGAAGTCCTCCTCTAAACCCCACAAATTCTGTCCACAGATCCTTGTAAATCCTAGAAAAACAGCCTGCACCAGCACAGAGCTCCCAATATGAGCTCCTGAGTCCCGACTCGGCGCAGCCCTGCTCTCCTACCCTTGCACATTCAGCAATGAAGCAAGGCCAGACGGCCTACAAATTCACTGTACCTTGGCACAGTTTTCACACTCGTAGTGCTTCCCGCTGTCATGCGACATCTGGTGACGTATCAAGTTGGACTTCCAGTTAAAGGCTTTGGGGCACTGGTCGCACTTGTACTCCCTCTCCTCGCTGTGTGACAGCATGTGCTTCTCCAGGCTGCGGAAACAGAGAGAGGCTTAGTGAGCTCCTGGCAGCACCTACACAGAAACGTGGGTTTATCAGCGATTTGCAGATCAGCCTAGCAATAGGGGAGAAGTGCCAGGAAGAGGAGACCAAGCAGAGCACGTAATTACAGCAAATAGTGCAAAGAAAACCCAGAGGCCCCATCCTGACAGACCCAAGGCCGCTGAGTTGGGACAGCAGCTCCGAGCACACGGCCTGGCCCCGCTTCCACGCGAGATGTCCCTCTGCACCGCAACGTTCTGCAGGCCACTTGCAAGGGCTCCGGGAGATGATGCATCCATCCCTCCCTAAGGAGATTATTTCACACACACCTCAATATTCCACTGCAGCAATTCTTTCCTGCAGTCTGAATTATTTCTCCCTTATTAATTTCAGTCAAAATACACCTTTGATCCTACTGGGTTATATAATTCCACTCTTGATGGCAGCCCTATTTCAGGTCTAGTGTAAGTGATCAGAATCAAGTCTCTGAGTACCATACACGAAGATAAAAGTTACAGTTTGATTATTAATAACTACATTCAATTAGCTAGCTGTTAATGCATTCATTTCTTAGTCATTTATTTAGTCTATTGGTAGTGTATTCAATCAAGTGTATTTTTTGTTGCGTATCCCTGAATTAATTCCAAATTCAATTCTGAATTCCTTCAATTGCTATTTTAGTGCTCGTGGAGAGCAAGTCCATTTCTTAACACCTGCACAGCTTGGTCACGTATAAAGCTGTGGCTCACACTCTCCCTTGAGCAGAAGAGAAACGATCACTACGTAGTGTAGAAGCAGGGTCACAAAGAAGCCATCAGGAGCTGGGATTTTCAGCATCAGCCTGCCAACACCAGCGGAGAGAAGTGCCTGGATTTACAGCCTGCCCTGGCTCTTAAAGTCTGATTAGCAACTTTTATTCATGTCAGTGCTTTCACCCTGAGGATGTTGCTTACATCTACCCCTCTCAGGATCTTCTTTCCTTCTGGAGGGAAAAAAAAAAATCTGGCTTTTCCTCCCATTCCTCTGTGACAAGTGAACCTCCCTCACGCACTCGGAAACAACCTTCCCAAAGATCCAAGGAGGTTCCTGTCCCTGGTACCGGTGCCAGCTCCCAGGACGTGGCTCCACAACCTCCCACCAACACAGGGCTGTATCCGCCTCCACCACAGACCCACATCCCATCTTCCTGCTCCGCTATTTCTCAGCTTAATTCCACACCCCCTCAAGCCCAGGTCACTCCAGCCTTTTGTTTTATATAACCTGGATGTAGCACACTTCTGGACTTTTTTTGATGTGAACTGTCTTTGCCATGTATTAGCCTTTCAATAATTCAAGAGTTCGGAGAATGACTGCCTTCACTCTCATTTTTCACTCTTTCTCACTGTGCTGCCCATCTATTTATGATGACTCGTTCTTTGTTTTCTGCCCTTTCTCTTCAATTTTTAATACTTTAAGCTAAATTTACATTTGTTCTATGATTCTCATATGTTAGATATTGTCCTCTAGTTCGTTGGCAGGAAAGAACTTTAATATGGAATAACTCACAGTGTGCAAAAAAATGCTGCTGTCCAGGCCTCTCCCTCACTTACATTACTGCGGCCCTTCGGACTTGATCTACCAACATCAACCCTTTCAAATCAACTGAAAATTAGATACGTGGAGCCAAATCTTGCTCAATATCACCCAACGAATAAGGCACTGTGTCTACACAAGTCCACGCTCAGTGGGGTTCACCAAACAGATGGACAGCAGTTTCTGGCACACCGTGTTTTGATTTTTGTGGTAGTGTCACTGATTTTGTGAAGGAAGCGGGTCACAGGATACGCTGCTCGGAGACCTCCTGCGTGACGCTGAACAACCTCTGCTCAGTTAACAGGACCTAAGAGAGTCCTCATTTTGGGAAAGGATGCCACATTTTGCAGAAACAGCACCTGAAATACTCAGTATCAGCTGCCCAAAGTAACAAACTACTAATTGCTAAGTCGTTATTTAAGGGGCAGCTGATGATTAGGCAATGCAATATCCTGTTGTCTCTAAAAGGGCAGTTAATGCTGTGACTCAGGTTGTACCCACACGACGGGTAAGAAATGCACTGCCTTAGTAGAGCTGAGAGTCTGACCCAGAGTTTTGTTATTGAAATACCTCAACACTGTTATGAAATCTTGGCTTAGGACACCTTTTCTCTCAAAATGAAAGCATTAAGATGTAAATTCATGATCAAAGCACTGCAGAATACACACTCTAAACATCTATCAGTAATTTGCCAAATCTGCTGTAATCTGCAGTGTAACACATTATTTCAGGTAGCCACCAAAGCTACAGTGACAGGACATATATAAATGATCACTATATAAAAGATGTACTTCCCATTTACATTCCTGAATGCATATTTCAGGTATACATGCATGCATGTCTACCTATTTAAACAGATAGATATAATAAGAAAAAGGTGAAGCCAAGTGCCCTTTGAACCCATGATTTCCAAAGAAATTAAAATCATTTTTCTGCAGAACTGCTTATAAATCCTGCTTGCCATTGACCCTAAGGGACCATCACTAAAATAGTCAAATGTTTTGCACCGTCTTTGCATTCCATTACTTCTAAAATAAGATTGATTAATGAAAATAAGTCATGGCTGGATAGTGTGGGCCTGATCCTCTTCTCACAGCAGCTGAAGACATTTGTATCATTGCTGTTTTCAGCTGAAGTGGGATAGTTCCATACAATTTACTTCTCAAAAAACTTATGTTGAATGTGATGACCTGAAGGACTGCGCTGTTTCAAGAATGAGAGGCTATATATCAAATATTAACATCTAGTTACATTGTAACTTAACTCTTCCAGGCATGGCTTGTTTGCAAAAGACTCAGAGACATTCTGGGTTACTTCTGCCTACAAACACTAAGTCCAGACCATAGCTCATTTGAACTGTAATCATTTCTCTGATTTCACTGAAACTAGACCAACTTATGACAGCTAAAGAAACGACTATAAGAGGGCCAGTTCTTTACAGTCTTCAGGTCAAGGACCAATTCTCAAGGACTTCAGGTCAAGGACTGAATCTCTGAATTACTGAAACTCTATTGATTTCCACGTTCTATAACACCAAACAGCACAGGAGTGCCAGTAAATTTCATATTTATTTTGCATATCAGATGAAGGCAGCAGATTCTGCCCTCGCTGATGCCCTGTATCACCAGACTGAAGGTGTCAGAATTTGCCTCATTCCACCAGGTTTTAAGCATCTGCTCCTACCTTTGTAAGTCTGGGAAGACTTGATCGCACTCTTTACATTCCTGGATTTCATGCACATCCCGAAGGTCGCTCTCGGTGTCGAGCTTTTTCTGGAAGTCCTCCTCCACCATGGAGAAGGCAGAGTGAGGTGTGCTGCAGGGGAACTTCTGGTGGTCTACGAGCTCCGCCTTGGACTCGAAGAGCTGGTCGCAGTCCTCGCAGCGATACTGCCGCTCCTCTGCAAAACACAGATAAATGATGCTTTAATTCTGCAACATACAACAGTGCAATGCTATTTATTAACCACCTGGGTCACATCCAATAGGGAACCCTAACACTGTGTGTTTATATCATCTTAAATGGAGATGTATAGGGCCTAAGATGGATATCCAGTGGGAAGCTGTCAGTATCTACCTTTCAGGATGAAGTAGAGTGACTTAGACACAAATGTCAGCATTTAAAATACCCAAGAGGGTGTTAATGGAGATTTTAAAACCTTTTAATTTCCATTATGGTTCTCTTCAGCACCTAAAGCCTGTTCACTGTAAGCCAAGGTGAAAGATAAAGAAGAGAAGGGACCTTGCTTTAAATTCAGTAGGAATAAAATTGGTCTCTGTGTGTTTCTTACTAGAAGTGACCAGAGAAGATCAGCAGTACGACCACTTTGGAGTGAACATTTCATTCCATGGATAATAATTACTGTAAAATAATAGATGAGCTGAGGTAAAGCCCCAAAATAACCTTGGAAAGACATGCCAGGATATTTTTTCTGTTGGATTCTCTATTAATGGTTCATGTGCTACCCATACATCCTAGTGTGGTTTCAGTGTCATCAGCCCTGCAGACATAAACGCCCACAGGCTCTGGGTCCGTAGGGTACGTGGCAACCTGAGGAGCCTGCCTGACCTCCCACGTGTGCAGCACAACTGGTGATCACTACCTGAGGGCCAAGTTGATCCTGAGAAACCACCACGACGAGAACATTGCTCTGCTCTTCACTGTCCTCCAGGAATAGCTTAGGCCAAGTGAAAACTTGCTGCAGTTTGGGTCTAAATGAGCCCCAAGGGACATTACTTGTATGTAACTGCAGAGCATTTTTCTGGCGTCATTTATAAAATACCCGGTGGAATAGGCACAGAAAATACTATGCTTTAAAAAGGGTTACATTTTTAACAATAAAATTACCACTAAAGAGGAGGGGAAAAAGCTCAACAAATGAATTAATAACTGTGCACTTTTGTTTTTAAGAGACTGTAAGTCACTGCTCCAAGTTGCAAGAAACCACAGCCCTAAGTGCCACCTCTCCTGCCCTAGGAAAGCCCCTGTGCACAGTCCCTGAATCCTTAAGAATTTACAAGATGGGCATAAACTGTAACCTAATGTGTATCAAGGAAATATCCTACAGCTAGCCCCAGCTGTGCCTTTATAGCCCTCTGCACTGCAGACAGCAGAGCCCAAGTCGCTTCTGGAAGTGGGGGCAAGTCTGATGCAACCTAATCTGCAAGGAATGAGCCAACAGTTTACGAGTTGTAGGCAGAGAATCTCTGTAGAGGATAAATAATGAATGAGCCAGGGAAGGAAGAACGACTATGTTCTCAAAAGCGACAGCAACATTAACATCCTGAGATCTTCTCTTTTCAAGAGAATAGAATGATTGTTGTTAAACTAAGTGATAAAAAATAACCTAGAATCAGAGTTCACACACCTTAGCCTGGCAGGACCAATAAAACTGCACTCTCTTCCTCCTTTTGCAACATCCATGAAATGATTACAGTTCAGTTTCAAGCCCTACTGCTGCCCTCATTTACCTCTCCGGACATCTGCTTCTACCAGGGAGGTTGAAATAAGTAAGGGAAACACTGAAAGACATCAAGAGCTGCAGAGATGCAGAGAAAAATGGACCGTGCAAACCAGAGCTCACCAGCTTGACAGGAACAGAATGGAAGTTACAGGCAATTTTTAGGGAAAACAGTTCAACTACAAGTGATGAACAAAACAGACAGCCCCAAAGCCAGCTTTGACATCACTTTTCAGAACAGCAATCCTCCAGAGGGACAGGAGGAGAAAGGCCCTGGCATGACCTCCTGGCTGTAGTTCAACTAAAGGGAATCACAGGCTCATATTTAGGTCATTAGTGGTGTAAATCCCTCAGTGACTGAGAATTTCAGTTTATTCCCAGGCAACCTATGACCTCCCTATCTGGATTCTTCATTGCTAACACTGAAAAAAGTTTACTCAGAAAACCTAAATTAAGGGACACCAGCAATAGCAATCTTGGTCACAGCCAGTGGCAAAACATCGATAAATAAAAATATATCAATTATGCTAATATTAAATGTATTTATTCACTGACCAGCTTTTAAAAAACAGAAGGGCAGGATTATAGGTATATTATCAGCACAGTTCAGTTCTCTCAGATACAGCGAAGCTATTGTGGATCTCAAGGGGATTCCAAAAGAAGAGAAATCTTCCTAAATTTTCACTTAATCTCAGTGTTAGAGTAGATTAGATGAAACAGTAAAAAGCAGCTGACCGTGAATGTCTGGAGCCATCGCTTCATGTGAATAATCTTCACTCTTCATGAACAGTAACAGCTCCTCTCCAGGTTCAATATCTGCTACAACTCTGTAGAATATCTGAAAAAGAGAACGCAAAGTGAGCAGCATGGAAGGCCACGAGGCATCAAGCCTGGCTAGGAAATACCACTGCATTTACCCCGTGGTGGGTCCTGCCCTGGTTTGGGTGCAGGCTGCCAGCAGGGCCATGGAGAGGTGCCAACTTAGACTATGGCCAACCCGCTCCTTCCAGCCCCCAAGCTTTTGTGCTGCGGGTTTGGGCAAAGCGGAGATTGTTTTCAACAGCCTTGGCTGCACAACGAGCTACGTGATGAAAACTGCAAATATCACCAGCAATCCGCATGCTTAGATAAAAACAACCTACGAGTTATCCGTAAAGTGTAACCTCGAATGACTCGCTAAAAGGAGATAACCCCCATTTCTCCTCTCGCCTGCTGTGGGAAAGCTATAGGTGCCAGCTAAAAACGGACCCGAGAAGATGATGCTGATAAAGCAGTGGCACGGAACCTCCCTCATGTTCTTCAGCATGGAAGACATGAAGGCCAAGAGAGGTTCATCCCACCCGGTGGTACCGGGTGCGACGGGAGAAGAGGCAGAGGCAGCGTCAGGAGAAGAGGCAGAGGCAGCATTTCCCAACGGTAACATGAGCCACCCCAAACGCTGTGTCCTGGCAGGGAACGTGAGGAGCGCTGGGAAGCGCCTCGGAGCGGCTCGGACAAACATTGGCCGCCTCCTTGGGCCCTGCTAAGCCGGGTACACGACAGCTCTGCTCCCCGCGCCGAGCGGCGCCCTCGCGTCTTCCCCCGCACACGGGCGAGCTCGCAGGCCCTGCACCCGCTTTCACACCCTGCAAGAGGCAGGTTGGAGAGGTCTGCGGGCAGCGGGGACACGCGGCGCCACGCGGAGGTTTCCCGGCGGGGACCGTCGCCTCCCGGCTGTTTTCTTTTCTCCTCCTCGTCCCGTGCGCTCCAGAGCCGGCGTCGAGCGAGCCGGCCTGCAAGCAGGGACGCGCGCGAGCGCTGCCCCGCGGATGACGGGAGCTTGTGCCCGGCTCGTGGCTCTGCTCCCTCCTGTGCCTGTTCCGGGGCTGCTCATTCTCTCCTTGCCCTTCAGACAAGTCTCTGCAACTCCCGTTCCCTTTGGAAACGCGTCAGCATAGAACAGGCCTGGCGCAGGGCAGGTCACCCGCTCTGGGGCACTTTCCCCTTAATGTGACTTTTCGCCAATTTACACAAGTCCCGTAACCCAAGCAGCGCGTTCGAGGCCCTGCACTAACTCCAGCAGCTCCGAAGGAAAAATGACAGCACCGTCATCGTACCCCTCCAGACACAGCAAGAGGAGCGAGGAGATGGGGTGCCCACAACAGCTGGCAGCAGTGAAAATGGTGATGTAAAACACAAAAAGTGAAAAAAATCTGGACACTCCACAGCAAAGGCTGCAGCGACCGCCTACCTGCCCCTGCTGCTGTCTGTAGGTAAGGGAAGAGCCAGCAAAATGGTGCAGTTTAAGTAAAATGCTCTTTTTTAAATTTTGCATCACAGAACTAAAGCTGCTCCAAAACCAGGTCCAAGCGACAGATCCGAACTACTGGCATTTTGGCATTACTATTAAAATGATTATTTTAACTATTAATAAAAAAGTATTAAAAAATCATTGCTGTACATTCAACAAGAAAGTGACCCGCACTAATCAGTCACAGAGCACACTGCGTTCCAGCAAGGATCTAAAATCAGCCACACTGCACTTCAAAACAATCTGATCTGATTTGAATGGACGTCCCTGTCACTTCCTGGAATCCACCGGAATCGTCCTGCCTGGGAACACGGGCTACGTTCAAGTGCGTTTGGTGAAAAGGCCCAAGCTCGAGGAGGTGTCAAGCAGCAGAAGCCTATGCAGAGGTGCCAGGATGCAGCACGTCCCGGGTGGGAGAGCTCAGGAGTGACTCCCAAGCCACGTCTGCCTCCTCCTGCCTCTCATGGCTTTGCAAACAACACTGAGCTGTACTTCAGACATTCTCATTTTGTTTTAGGAAAGGGCCATGTGGAATACACAGACTTTTGCATTCTAAAGCCTAGAGGCTCCTTGGCTACGCTCCTGCCTATACTGTAATTAAGGATTTTAATTTTTTGACTTCAGCTGGAGCACAACTTCACCTCCACAGCCCGCCAAGCCCGCGTCGTTACCTGACCTGGTTTCATGCCCCAACCCGGCAGCCCTCACGCCTGCCCCCCGACGAGCCGCACGCGGGCGAGGAGGGCACGTCCCCGTCCCACGCTGCAGAGCCACAGCCGGGCATAAAAAATAAAGGAACGCGCCATTGACTTTTAAAGGGACGAATAAGGCCTCATTGTTACGAATCCCAGTTTACTTTTCCTGGTCAGGCACTTGAAATTTTATTTATGCTTAATAGACTGCGTTTGGCATGTGTAAAGATGACAGAAGCGTGAATTACGAACGACCTTCAACCTAGGCAGGAAGTTGTAATAATTGCAATACTAGGGGAGAGCCGCTCGCCGCGGGCCCCGCGCGCCGCTGCCGCCGCTCGCTTTGAAGGCGCCCGCGCGGGGTCCCAGGGAGACAGCGCCGGTTCTCGGGGCACAAAAGCGACCCTTGGTTCTACACGGGTGGACAAAGTCAGCGGCCAAGAGGAGCCCGTCTGCAGTCCTCGGCCTGGGGAGACGTTTCCTTCTGCTGCATCCTGCTAACACTCGTCCTTGGGTGCATAAGAGCGTGGAAAATGCTGCCTGTGTCCCGAGCTACCCGGGAAATCCAGATTTTTAGAGACGCGAGTCAGACGCGGGAGCAGGTAGCCTGCTGAAGTTACCTCCTGAATGCATCGAACCGGCTTCAAGTGTGGTGGGGAGGCACCACATAATTAATTTGGGTCCCACAACAGGCTGGCAAGGGAAAGGATTGGACTGACTGCAGCGGGGGCAGACACCAGCTAGGAAAAGATGGAGAAAAGGAAGGGGTATAAAAGACGTGCCGAATGCAGTGGTAGTGCCCAAGCTAACGAGGAGCTCCACACTAAAGGGACAAGGGCAATGGGAGGATTACTGCCCCACCTCCTGGAGGTGAGAAGGACAAATGAATAAATAAGCATGTAACAGGATGTAATTAAGTATTTGAGAAAGAAAAAAATAAATATAAAAGGTGTCTGGACAACCAGGACTCAGTTTTCGCTCCTTGGCTGAATACGTCCCGGGGCTGCAGCACCGTATTATGCAGTCCAAGGCAGGTCCTTCTCGCCATGCTCAGGCCTGAACTGAGCTCAGGCCATAAACTGAAGTAAACTGGAAGTTTTTTCCAAGGGTGACCCAGAGGCAGCTTTCCAGGGAAAGCTTCGTGAATCCCTGCCGGGCAGGCGGCCGTGTGCCCTCCCCGTGCCCAGGGCAAAGTCCTTCCCTTCTGATGTCCCTAGGAGGCCAAAAGTGCCCCAAAACGGGGAGAGAGGAAGCAGCCTGGGGAGAGGGCGCTGGAGCAAGAGGGTCCCGGCCATCCGCGTTTGCTGAGGAAAACATCCCTGTTGCTGTCCCAGGCTGTGTCCTGTCCTGTGTCTTGAAAGCGCCGGGTTGACCCCCCAGCTGCTGTCACCCGACGAAACTCATGTCTTCTTGATCGTGTCTTTATCCTGGTGCATTTTAGGCCACTGCAGTGGGTGCTCGCGGGCAGCCGGAGCAGGAGCGATCCCACATGGATCACAGCCATCTCGCTCTTCCCGTGGATGGGACCGCGGTGAGGAGTCAGCTGTGACGTGGGGCAACGTGCACAAAACCCGGCAGCAGCTCGGTGGGTTACGGCCTGTCCCATCACCACCGACATCTGCAACCCCTGCGGTCCTGCTGGGGCCACCGCGCCACCAGTCCTGCTCTCGGAGAGATAACTCGCCTTGCAGACAGCACCTGGCTGCTTTTACTCCGCATTAATGGTCCATAGGAAGCCTAGGACTATGAGAACGACGGCAACTAGTTGCCACTTGCAGCTCTGCGAGAAGCCGCTGCGGGGCCGGGTCACGTCAGGACAGGGCGACGCCGGGCGGGAGGCTCCACTGCACATCCCACCCGGCATCGCCTCCGTGGGCGGCCAAGGGGGACCACGGCGGCCCGGCTCCCCATTCCGGCAGCCCCGCTCCGATGCCGCCGGGCACGGGCAGCTGGATCAGGCTTTGTTTGCTCCAGAGAACCCCTAGGAAGGGGAACGGCAGGCAGGGCCGGGGACACTGCCACGAGCGGCTGCAACGCGGCGCCGCGGGCCCGGAAAGTTCATAAAACCTGCGAGACGCGACGAGCTCTGGTCACACCTGCAGCCGCGGGGTCGCTGGCCAGGGCTGCATCCCGGCACCGGGAACAGCGATACTACTGGTTTTCCCCCATTCCAGAAGCTTGTCCTTGAGCAGCAAATTTAAAAAATAATAATAATAAAAAAAATATTTCAGGTCACATAGCAAATCCAAACCTCAGCGGACCGACCCCAAACCATGTGGACGTTTCAACCGATAAGGCAGAGAGGATCTTCAGGGGCTGCTTTGCTAAGGGCAAGACCTGGAAGCTAAGAGCAGCTTTGCCGATTAGATGGTTCTAACACTGTCTGAGGTCTGCAAGCAATAAGCAAGTCAAAAGAAAGAAAAAAAATCAGGAGTTTTAACTGAAACTATTAACAACTACATTTCTTTAAAGAAAAAAAAAACATGCATTTTTATAACTTTAAGATGACTGCAGTCCCAGCTTGAAAATGCACTGATTGCATGACAGCTCCCTTGCAAGACATTGCTGCTGTTGGGCTGTATTTTCAAATGCATTTTCACTACCAAACGTATTTTAAAATTTTTAAATAATGCTTTTCCTGAGTCAGCAGCCAGACAGCCTAACAGCGCTAATCAGTCCGAAGCCATTAAAAAGTTCAGCTAAAAGGTGTTTAACAATAATAGAGTCACCCAAGTTAGCAAAAAAACTGGTATCGAATCGTAGCTGACTCCGAGCTGAAAAAACACATTCCAGGGCAATAATAGTGACAAGACTGTTTGCAGCTCTGCACATACTGCAGTCTCTTTGGGGAAAAGGAAAAAATGAGACTGTACTATTTGTGGAATTTTATTATTCATATACATCTTGAGTTACATACTTTCAGGTCAGATTAGGTATGACAGGAGATAATAGGAAGACAGCAAAGAGAAATCCTAGATCGCCTTCATTTGAAATAAAAAATGAGGAAAAAAATACGCAGCTTTTAAACCCTACTCCGCTCGCAGTCACATGAAATACGAGTTGCACGCAGCATACATGTTTTGACTGCATCCCACCATTACCGAGCCGTTCATCTCGGCAAAGCTCATTTATAAAGTTGCAAGAAAGAGCCCAGGCCCTGTGCAAAGCTGATCCTAAGCAATGAAACCCAACCTCAGGCATGAATCGGGGTGCTGCCCCTCTGGAAAAAAAAACTAATAGAGAAAATAACTCCCCAGATTGGCTTTTCTCCCCTTTTTTTGGCTCAATGGCTGCAGGTCTGAGGGTCACCTCATGCTGCCTCTGACCCGGCCGTCCCCGCGCTGCCGTGCGGCCCGCGCCGGGGGACGGGGCTGCTGCGGGGGCACCGCGGGACGGAACCGCTTCATTATTGTCATTATTATTGTCATTATTATTATTATTATTGTCATTATTATTGTCATTATTCTGGCCGGGTCAAGCAGAGAAGGGCCGCCGCACGGGCACCCTCGCGTGTGTCGCTCCCTGCGCCCGGGCGCGCTTGGCCACGCGACGTCCCTTCCCCAGCTCGGCGTCCACGCGATTTTATGTTACCTCTGCAGAGCCCGTGCCAGAATAAAGCAGGAGGAGGAGCTGTTAGAAAGGCTTTGGGGGTTTAAGATTCAAGAGCACATTTTAAGCATTAACTTTTTAGGCTACGGTCATAAAACACTGGAGTATGTGTACAATTTTGTGGGTAGGTTTTCAGTGTTTCCAGAGGGCCACAGGAACAACAAGCTCTTGCTGACAGCGCACCGTTCGCAACAGGCTACTTGCAAGACGAGCGATTTTTAATTTTCAAATCTCAGCAACAATAAGCCCGAAAAATACGGCACTACGAACAGCGTGATACCGCGCAAAATGAAAAACAAGTCTCCAGTGAATGAAGGAAATTACTGGCAGCAGTACAGCCACCATTACCAAATCTCAGAAATGTAAACACTAAGAAAGAGAAGCCTTACAAGCGCCATAACTTTCATTCCAAAAACGTCAAAACGCGGGTGCACATTAGTGTGTCAGAGGAGAGATGCTGGTATTTCGGGCTAGCATCTATTCTGAGTCACAGCTCAGCAATATCGGAGTGAACACAGTAAGCTGTTTTTACCAATTCACGTGATTCCTTTTACGGTCTTACCTATTTATGCCAGCTCTTGTTGAACATAAAATATTTGAATTTGCTATTTCAATTAAACTATATAGCTTCCTTTTTGTATCTCAGGTATATAAATGCTCTGCACTGAGAGAATTTATTGTTTTTCAGTATAAAACATATTTCGGCTTGGAGAATGTATTTTTCATTTACTAATAATCTTTATGGTTTCTTTAGTTAAACCAGCTGCTATATAAAAAATAAATTACATCTCAGTCGGCTGCTTCATTCAGTATTACATGTGCTCAGGGCTGAATTTTAAAAGTTGAAAATTAAAGGGATCCTCTATCATAGTTTCTGAAAAAAAAAAAAAAAAGCCTATCTAAAGACATTTTAACCAAGCATTTCATATGAGCTAAACACCTAATTCTGTAACATTGCTGGAAACAGCAGCCTGCCCCACATTCATTTCCTACATGTAAGGAATTTGATTGGAAAGAATGATTTCTAATTGAGGCTTTGTGTCTGCTTGTGATTCTTCCTTCAATACTGTCAAGGCAATTAAATCAGCTAAAGATAATCTTTAGCATTCACCTGATGCAGTTAATTAAGTGGTGAAAACGAAGCACAGTGATTAGAAGAACCAAATGTTATGTTGCTGGTATCAAAGTCGAAATTTGAAACAAGAGCTCACAACCAGTTGTTCCTTTGCTATTTTAGACATTTTTACTTTCAAGAACTATAGCTTCACCAACCTAACCTCACTCATTAAAATATCTCATAACGGCATGCACTATTTGCAAACTCAAGCAAACCTTGATTTAAGCAGCACCTAATAACTCATCAACATAACTGAAAGCACGATGCTTTACTGCGTTGTTCCTCTGCCTACGGCTGCCTTTTTTTTTCTTTAAACAACACACAAGGATAAATAATGTTTGAGCCCAACAACGAGTGGATTTTTAAAGTACGCTAAAAGAAAAGGAAAAGAAACCCACGAAACAGGGCAGTTCAGTGCAGAAGCATTACGAGTTCTCGGGAAGAGCAAGGAAGAGCATAACCATAACACAGTTCATGCATGTGCACGTTCAAATGCAGAGCCCTGCTCGAATGAAGAGCTCCACTTGTAGGACTGTCCATTTTGTATCTTCGCCCTCATTCTTTCCATTGATTTCACAATACAGTTCTTGATTAAAACTCAAGGTTTTAATTTAGCAAGGCAATGGCATCAGAACAGGCACCCCAAAAATGTCACTAACTCAAAATCAGAAAGTACTGCATATCTGAGAAAGTCATCCCAGTTTTCATCTGGCATAAGATTAAAAAAAAAAAAAAAAAGAGTGGGGGAATCAGACAACAGTGTGGGAAAAAAAATGGAAAATTCGTATAATCTGCACCCACAGTCAAAATTATTCTACTCTGCATTTCACATCTGTGCCTTATCTCTTGCCATAACAGCAAACATGCCAAAATCTGTTGTGAATTGCTGTTTTGTTCTTTTTTTTTCTTCTCTCCACTGACACCTTAGAGTTCCTTAAAAAGTAAGTCCAGAAAGTGAATGCCACATACCTGATCGCTTATCTGACATGCAACAAGGTTGTGCTGATTGTAGCATCCAGCAAACTTGATATATTTGAGCCAGTTTCCTACATCTGGTTGACTGGCATCTATGCAGAACTTCACATTGCAAAACTCATCCAAGATCTAAAAAGAAGAATATGAAAGAGTGAGTCTTTCCACTCCTGTCCGGGCATTCTAATTACATGATAAATCACAGGTTTTCAGGTAAACAATATATGCATGTTTACTCACAAATATGCCTCTCTAGTGAGATTTTTTTTTAGAATTATATACAGAATTAAATACATATCAATAAAAGGAAAATAAGTATGCAGAAAAAGGTTTTAAACAATGTTTACACACAAGCAAGATGTTGTCTATTTACTGCTATGAAACACTGCGTTAAATTAATAACAACCTGATTTTCTTGGCAGTCATTGGTGACCATTTGCACTTAAAATTATGGTTTTTTAATTAGAGGCGATTCTGTCAGGGTGCATAGCAGAAATTATTAAAATAGGTGGCGTTGTCGTGGTTTGGGGCTGCTGTTTTGTTCCCGAATCGACGCTGCGTGCGGCTCCCCCTCCGCCTTCCCACACTCCGCAGCCTCCCAAACTCCAAAGTTTGGCCCCGAGTTATTCCTCCCGCTTGGCCATTCCGCCTCCAAGCCCTTCCGTGCCACCCCTAAATCACTCCACTTAATTGCGGCGAATAACACACACTCCCCACGCCGAAGTGGGGAAAAGAAACGCGAAAACGCGTAAACGCTCGCGCAAAACGTGGCAGCGC